ATAATATTAGATCTAGAAAGTATAAATTGTATAATTATAATATTTTTTCATATATATAGATTGCATTATTTGTTCCGAGGGAGCTAATACAATGGACATCGGACGAACCATTCTCTTGAACAATTTGCCTCGCCATAGATTAGACGCCGGTACGTTTGGCACTATGGGTGTAGGGCTTGGATTTGCAATCGCAGCTGCTCTTTATTGCAAAGATAATGCGCCGAAAAAAAGAGTAATTTGTGTGGAAGGAGACAGTGCCTTCGGATTCTCCGGCATGGAGATCGAAACCATGTTTCGGTAACGTAATAAGCTATTGCCTGGAACTAAAAAACGATTGTTTTTCGAAATCCTTTAATGCAATTTAATGCAATCCTAATCCTTTAATGCAATTTTATTAATTCATACGATCATTCGACATGTAAATAAGTTAAAAAATAAAAATGCTATTAAACATCGCGGTGCGTTTCGGAGATGTTAATAAAAAGTGTTATTTTTCAAATTATTTTTAATACATCTCGAAAACGACGCAGAATATGAAAAAATTTCAAAAGAACTTTTTTTGTAGGAAATTAAATTAATTTCCTATCAATTAGGCATATAAAAATTTTTTTTTCAATACCAAAATAGAAAAAGAAAAAAATAACGAAATTTGCTAAAATTTTCAATTTTTACTTTTTGCATAATAACTTTTTTTCTATCAGTCCAAACGCTTTTGTCATTATTAGAGAAAAAAAGTAGACATTGTAACGAAAAAATGAGAGGTCAAACAAGAGCTTTTTGATCAATGATGACCGAGATATCGTTAACGCAAGTTACCAATCGGACGTTTCTAATCGGTTTTCCAATATCTTGAATTTATTCTAATTTTATGTTATTGAAACTTTCTTTTATTGCAATTATCAATCAAAACATGTCAAGGAGGAACAATTACGACAACGTCCAAAACATTGGAAGCTGAGGAAGACAATTTAAACGCTGATGTGGACAATAAAATTGACATCAATATTGAGAATTGTACGATTATATTATAATTGATTTTTATTGAAAATGACATTGGTTTTTATAACATTCTATAGCACACAATTAATTGATTGTTTATTATTTACATGTCGGATGATCGTATGAATCAATAAAATTGCATTAAGAAATTTGCTTTTAAAACCCTCCAGGCAATAAACTATCTCGGTAGAATTATTAAGATAAGAAAAATCTCATTTCACGAGCGAAGAATATAATATCTATCCTTTCTTTTTAGTTATAAACTACCGGTGATTATTATAATCATAAATAATAATGGCATATACAGCGGTTTCGATAACGAAACTTTCAAACAGATACAGGCATCCGGAGAGCCTACGCAAGTGTACGCATTTCTCTACATAATCTTAATATAAAAAAATTATATTTTAAATATTTAGATAATTTAACTTAAGGTTCACTGCAACCATCTGGATTAAAACATTAAAACAAGGAAAATAAACAAAGAAAATTCTTGCAAGCTGTATATATTAAAATATATTTTTTAAATAAAACATTTGCAATTGATGGAATAGATTTATAAAATATATCGAAAACTCTCTTTATGTTCCGGTAATAAAAAAATAATCATATATTTGAATTATGCTTACCAGAAAATGAAACAAACTTCTATATATTTATATCTATGTGATGTATTTATGAAGTTGTCAAATTAAGATAATATAATTTTTTATTCTATTTCGAAATAAAAGGAGTTGGTACATTTTTTAAGTGTATTCTATCAAATGCAAATATTGTTTTATTGAAAAATATTTTTATTTTAATATATTTCGCAAGAATTTTCATTATATATTTTCTCTGTTTCTGACATCATTAATCTATGGTTAGAAGCTTTAAAAGATATATAATTATAAGACGTTTTATAGGTAATTAATATAAGGTAATTAATTATATTTAATTTTAATTTTATTTTTTAGATATTTTCGACTTTATTAGTTTGTTTCATATATCGAAATATTTGCAAATCCAGATACTTTTACATTGATTATTAAAATTACATTTTTAGGACACCTCCGTATTCACTAACATCTGAAACTCATTATGAGAAATTGATGGAAATGTTTGGCAGGAAAGGATATTTTTGCACTACTGTGGAGGACATTCAGCAAGCATTGAAATTATCTCTCAAGGTAAGATTATTATTAAAATAAGATTGTCATTCCTTTAAAAATTGAAAAGAACTGCTTAAATGTTAAAATATCGTTTCAGGTGATGGACAGTCCTAGTTTAATAAACATCATGATTAACCCGCAAGCAGATCGAAAGAAACAACAATTCAACTGGCTAACAGAATCAAAATTATAGATGTGCCGCAATCAAAATACTTTATGAATATCTATGATTTTCTCCAATATTTTTTTTTCAGAAAATCATTTTTTACATATCTTTAATTAACTCTATTATTCATATGGTTTTTTTTAATTACTTGCGTAGAGTGTTTCTGACATTATATATAATATATATATATATATGTCTCAATTTTCATTGTTCTCTTTAATAATTTACAATTAAAAAAAATTGACAATATTTTATTACATCCTTTAGATAAAGATAAATATAAATTTTTTTATTGTAAAACAATTTGCGCTAAATATAGTAATGTGTATAAGTTATAGCGTCCATGTATATTTAACGAATTTATAAGGGTGGGATATTTTGAACAGCAAGTAATGATGGGTTAGCATAATTATAGATATTAGATGAAGTGTCTTTTGATACTGTAACGTGAATACATAACTGAGGAATGACAATCTGAACTGAATCTTAACTGCTTAAATAATTCGGTGTTAATTATATACACACACACACACACACACACACACACACACACACACACACCCGCACGCGCGCACATCCGTGTTCTAAAAATGTGTGATCTTTTATTTCTATTTGATTTTAACAATTCTATTTTTTAAGTTTTAATACGTTTAACAATGCTTCATGTTCCGTGATGATTAACAACGCTGTATCTTTGTCAATTTGTGTGAATGACATTATGGACATGTGAGCTAATTACTTGTATCATTCTCTTGCTGAGGAGGACTCAGAGAATAGAAACGTTCAAAATAAAGAAGAAATCAATACAATATCTGAATATTGATTGTTCAAAAATAATTGCACCGTTTATCGTTGCTGACTCTTATTAGCCTATTATTGTATATTTATCTTTTGGTATTACTAATTTAGTTCTGATGATGATAGCATTTCAAGACCGAAAAAGATTTTAGCACATGATTTGTAGAATTTGGATATGTATATAAAAATTCACTCTGAAATATTTAAGTACTAAGATACGTTTTGATCGAAAATAAGTTTATTTCTTTTAATTTTCGACGGTTTAATATAAATTGTAATTGTTTAAGTACCTAAAACCAGTTCAGATCATATAAGGTTTTCGTTTCCCAATTTAACATAATTGTTTTATAAATTATTAATTAATATCAAAAAATAAAATACAAATCAATAATATAGCCTGATATGGACTAAACAATCAAATACAAGCAAATTTATTTATGTATATTTAAAATAGCATTTAATATTTTAATAAAATCATATACATACATTTCAGTTTATAGAGCCTTCTTCAGTTTAACTCTCAATTATATCTTTTAGTTAATTTATCTATTATTTTGCATACCTTTCAGTATGCAAAAAATAATAAGTAAATTAATTTCTTAAACCTATATAACTTACAAATATATGTATAGTAACAATAAGAATCGATAATCAATCAGACAACCAAAATCTTTTCCAATCACATGGGCGTATCCGGGAGGGGGAGGGAGGAGGGATTTGGAGGTCAAACCTCTCTCGAAATTTTTATCGATTGATGTCTAATAATTTTTAATGAGAATATTTAATAATTACTAATGAGAATATTTTATTTTGAATTGGTGATGTCATACTCTATCGAAGTCTCTTTAATTTTTAAATGTAAAAAACATACAACTTTATTTTCGACTTTGTGTGAGATTTTTGTAATTACATAAAATATTTTTTTCTTCTCTTATAAGACCATATAAATAATTTTTAATACTTCTGTTAGTTCAAGCTTTGACAAAATATGCAATACATAGGAAAAATTTTCGTAAGGTTTTCGTCTCGAAAAATAGAATATAATACGCTATAATTGATACATTCTTGTAATAATTGAATTGTTCTTCTTAAAAAAAAAAAAAAAAAATAAATAAAAGTTGATGTACAAAATGTAATATTTTTCCTTTTCAAAATGAAGTACAAGGAGACATAAATTAAAAATATCCAAATAGAATTCATTAATGTTAAAAATTATTGTAAATTACAACAACAAAATTGGTGCAGTGATGTTCTTTTTAGTACAATAGCAAAATCCATTTTTTTTTTGGTTGTCATTCCGATTGGTGCACGATACATATATCCCTGAGTTCATTGAAAATCTCCCCCAAAAAAATTCCACGATACGCCCACGTTCAATCATAAAATAATGATTTGTGAAAACGTAATCCTGTACATTCAACAATAAAAGTGAGCAGCAAAATGTGAAATTGTAAAATTGATAATAACAAATTCATTATTAGATGATCAAAATCACATTAAATCAATGTTTTTTGAAGAAGATCCAATTTAGATAAAAAAGTTTGTTTCTAGGTAAAAATGTAAAGTTTGACATCGAGAGTAACTAAACATAGAATAAATTTACTCTATATTTATAATTAATTTACTCTATAGTTATTTGGTATTTTATTTGGTCTCTTATTGACGAGTTATAAGGATAACTCAATAAAAATACAAGTCATAGAAAAAAAAACTTATTTTTAATATTATCTATTTTAATATTAATTTTATATTATAATAACTTTTTAATATTATAACAACTTTTTATTAATAGTTTATAAAAATGTATAGTAAATATGTGAATTATCAAGATATAAAATAGTATAAAGATATATAATGTACTATAATAAATAAAATGTACTTAAAAATTAAGTGTTTTAGGAATTTATTTACTTATTTGATCCAACTTCTCCGTAACATTCGTGGATGTGCTCGAATTCAGTAAATCTGATTCTAACCTGTTATTACGCTCGCTTTCATGGATAATTTCTGCTACGTTCACTCCCATTTTTTGAACTTTCTTGGACAATGTTTGATTCGCAGCATTGACTACTGTACGCAGGTGTCCGTTTTCCTTCGTAAGTTCCTTGATCATCTCCAGCTCTTTCTTTCTGAAAGTTAAAAAATCAACCCAACTGCAATCCAACTGTCATCATAACTGATCATTATCAGTTTCACAAAAAGTAACTATAAAAATTTTACATTTTCAGACTAACGCCATGGATGGAAATTAATGTCTTCTGAATTTGTATCTCGACAGATGAATTTGTATTATCAGTTTCCATATTGTGATCAGATCTCATTGCTATGTTTATAAAAGTTATTCATGTATTCACATCTGGGTTATTGTGAAAAATGGGCTTATTCATTGATTTCGATAAAATTAGACTCATTCGACGCGTTTTTACACGAAATGAACGAATCTGACAAAAAAAAGTGTCGCTCTGTTTCGCGAATCGAAATATTAAACGTTAAAGTTGATGACTATTCAGGTTAGGAAACCTAGGCTGTCCAGCATAGGTCTGTTCGACTTGCTTACACTAGGTTTGTTCGCGTCGAACACCCCAATATGCGATTAAATGTTAAAATAAAATAATAAAATAAAGTAAAATAAAATAAAATAACATAAAAAATAAAATAAATAAAATAAAATAAATAAAATTAGAAAAATTAAAAAAATAAAAGGAAATAATATTAATATAATAAAATAGAATCGATTCCCCGCTGCATGAGTAGGTACCCTTAAGGTAAATTTTCATGAGCTGCTCGAACCGGCTGTTTCAGTAACAATAAGGATCACGTGATCAAAATTGACGAATATCAAGCGTCCATTTTGATCACGTGACCCATTTTGTCATTGAAACAGCTGATTAAGGCCATGGCACATAAAAAACTTAAAGCAGTGAAACATAAGCAGTAAAGAGATCAACATATTGGATTGGCTTCTGTTATGGCCTTAACGGACTCTACTGATTGATCAATTTTCTTACTGCTTACGTTTTACCGCTTAAGTTTTTTTATGTGCCATCGCCCTTAGGGCTGCCACACACAAAATTCCGTAACAGTATGCGTAAAGTGTCAACTTAAGCTGATGAACCAATTAGAATGCTGCTTTAGATTATGTAATCTAACGAAAATAGAAATATATATATATATATATATATATATATATATAAAATAAACTTATCCATAATCCACTAAACTATAAATACACTGAAATGGGCATCTCCGCTATGAACCATAGAAAATCGTGGCATCAATTGATCAGCGCCATTTTAATTGGTCAGCATAAGAGCAAATCAGAAGCTTTCAGGTGCTTATGCGCACTTACGTTTAGTGTTCTTTAGTGAGATGCATATGTTAGCATATTGTATGTTAAGATCATCGTGTGTGTGGGGTTGTATTTAAAAGATTACTTTGAAATATTATAAAATCGCGTGATTGTAAAATGTGCGAAGCATCAACATGAACTGCTGTATGCCTGGGCAGAGAAGTAAAAAAGGCATTTCATTTCATGAGTAAGAATTTTTGTATTAAATATATCAATTTCTGCACATGTGTTAATATTGATGTAGGATATGAAAAGTGTTATTAATGTTATTTTTTTATTAAATGTACTAATAAAATTAAAGTGACATTATTTTTGTTTACATATCATTTATGTCCATATAAATTTCCATACATCGATAGTATGTACATTGATCGATCGCAGCGCCCGCGCGAACGCTTCTGATTCGTTCAAATATCGTCCCAACTAAAATGGCGGCTGATCAATTGCGGTCACGAATTTTCCTCTATGCCCATTCCAGTGTATATATAGTTTAGTGGTCTAGATATTCATACCATCCATGATCTGGACGGAGCCTTCGGGTGCGGAAGAGGATGATTTTAAGGGAGAAGGAGGCCGCCATATTGTCTGGAGACTGAACCAAAATGTAAAACCCAACCAACTATAGTCGAGCATTTCCCTGTTGTTTGACTGTAACAAGGGAATATTCTACTGTAGTTGGTTGGTTCTTATATTCTGATCCGATTTAAACTTGGTGGAAACTAGGCCATTGATAGCGTAAAATAATAAAATAATAAAAGAGCACAGACTCTTGCATAACGCATAACACATAATGCATAAGAAAATGAACTAATCAAAATCCTTTATTTTTTTTCCTTTCCATAAAATAAAGGACTCTGATTGGTTAATTTTCTTCTGCCTTATGTTTTATGCGTTATGCAAAAGTCTGTGCTCCCCGCTTATCCCTATGGCTGCGTTCTGTTTCACGCATTATTTATCCTTGTTATTCACCGAATGTTAAACAAGGATAAATGATGCATCATCCGCTTCATGCATGAAACGGAATGCAGCCTGTGTGTGATATCGCTGCTAGAAGTGCTGGATATCGTGACGAGAATAATAGTTGCTTTCCATTTACATCGATTCTCAGATAATTCTCACTTGTGACGTCATAACTCAGTTGAATTTCCTTTTACATTCTGACAAGTGAAATTTAATTGAGTTTTTGCCTATAATCTGCACAAGATTGAGACTGTGTGCTTTAGTGAGTCTCGTAAATTCATTTTAAAAGTCAGGTCCGAACTTGTGTTGTCTGTGATAATTTTTTATCAAACTTTTTGACATTTTTGGCAAATAATAGACGTTAATCTGAGTATGAAATACTCAGCTCATTTTAGACTCAGTTTCACTTGTATGCAAAAATGGAAAGCAACTAATATTGCGCATACAAAATTTTATATTTTTCTGAAATAAAATATCAACAATGCCACATTATGTTGCAATTGGCTGTAGTAATAAAAGCTACAGAAAAATTAAAGAGCAAATTAACCAAGAGCAAAATGTCGAAATAAGTTTTCGGTACATATTTATAATCTATATAATAAAAATAAAGATTCAATATGAAATAAATAATAAAAAAGAGACTATGAGTCAATAAGTCACTTTAATGCTAATCCGGAAATAATGTGAAATTAAATTTCATATAATTGAATAAACGTTTCGACCTACACAAGGTCATTATTAATGTCAACGTATCGACAATTACGAGTACAATTAAAGTCGTATAAAAATTAAAATTCTAATAATATCTAAAGCCATATTAAAATATTATTAATATAAAATTCGAGGCAGTATTATATATTTTATATAATTAATAATGTTTAACATAATTTTGGATTTTATTAGGATTTTTATGCAACCTTAACTGTTACTACTTGCAATTACCGGTTCTTTGTAACGTTAATTATGACCTTGTATACAGATCGAAATGTTTGTTCAATTATATGAAATTTAATTTTATATTTCTCGCTCTCTCTCTCTCTCTCTCTCTCTCTCTCTCTTTCTCTCTTTCTCTAATTTAGCATTAAATTAACTTGACTCATAGCTCCTTTTAATTACTTGATTTGTAAATATTTAACGGCTGTGTGCAATCGAAAATAATTTTCGGTTTATATTAAAAGATATAATAGGTATATATTGGGTCATCTAAAAAGTATCCACGGTTTTTTGTCACTAGATGTGTGTTGATGGTCATATATCTAGTGACAAAGTACCGCGGATACTTTTTAGATGACCCAATATATATTCATTATTTTTTTTTAATATAATAAGAAAATTATTTTTAATTGCATATAATCGTTGAATTAACTTTGTCTCACACAAAATCCTATTTTTATGTACTGCAAATACAAATAATATCATGATACATTATCGATTTTCTAATAGAGCGCTAAAATGTTGCCAGACAAGATGGCTGACTTCCCCATCGCGTGGATCTCGGTTCCCTTGCCCATAAGCTTTACGCTCCGTCCAGATTCTAGTCATTCCAGATATTTATACATCCATGGGTGAATCCGCTCCACTCTCCCCTTAATTCTCTCTGATATCATGGGTATACATATTTTATTATTTTTTTTTACAAGGATATAGTGAAAGATAAGAGTACGTGGTTTTGAAGAAAAATGGTAATCGAAGAAAAACTGGATCTTTCGAAAGAAAACCAAACGCAAAATGGAGTTACGACAAAAGAGCCGAGAACGTATTCCCTGGAAAGTATCCTTTCGTGAAAATTGTCCTTGGTTCTCCGAAGAAGAACTATCAGTGCCATATGCTTCTTCGTAACCTCTTGCTGTCGCGAATTATTGGGAATTGGGATATTAATCTATCAACACATATTAAAATCGTTGATAATATCCTGCTAGGACTGTCAAAGATGCCAATTTGATAATTTCTTATCTTTGCTTTCGATAAGTGAATTGTTTTGATATTATTTATGAGTATTTCCAACAAGGAATACAGTCAATATGGAATCTTTTCTAGCAAGGAATACAGATTATATTATTACGTTCTTGTTATTTGCAAGTATTAAAGATGAAATATTTCACTATGTTATATTGTGTTATTTATCTATTGCTGAAAAATGTCTACATCCTTATTGTTTGCCAATGTTAAGCAGATACGAATTATGTTATACAGGTTACACTGTATCCTCTTGCTGAAAAACACCAATAAGTTACATTCTATTTGATGCTTCTAACACTCTTTGAATAACTTCATCCTTATTCTTTATCAAGTGTCAAACAAGAACAAATAATTCTCACAAGTGTTGTGCGCCAAGTACAACTTGTCTATAGTGAATCATTACATTCTTGTTGTTTACCAATGGATATTTTCCATTTAGTGACATAAGTTAACACAAATGTTTTGTCTTTCTTGCCGGATCATAAGTAACAAAGATAGAATCATATTTCTGTCGACTTGTCATCAAATGGAACCTAATTAAACAATGGTGAAATGATTTACTGTCTCTTTCTTGGAAAACGTCTAGTATCATTAAAATTTATATTGCATTCACATGTATTTTCAATATTCTGTACTATATTAACTATATATACTATTTAATATAGAAGAGAAAAAAATTAAAATAATTAACACAGAGTTTTGTAGCATTAAAATTGTTTATATTATATTTTCAATATCTTGTACTATATATCTAATATAAAAAAGAAAAATGGAAATGATTAACGAAGACAAAATAGTACTATCTTCTACTAGGTTCTAGTGTTATAATAAATGTTTATTAAACTGATCAAATTGATGATGCAGTTAATTAACACAGCGAAAAATTTCTTAATTTGACTTAAAAATTGATTTTAATTCATATATTTAATTTATACAATTTCAATTTTTGTCCTTATCAATTCCTGACAAACATGTAGTTCTAAAGATAATCAAGGAAGCACAGCAACAACATGGGTTGAGACATGGCGATTACCAGCGGTATCGCGGTTATTGCTCAAGAAGGCTGAGAAGATTGCGGAAAGTATTGAAAGTGCCACAGGGCGACAGGCGTCATTTCAAGAGGAGAGATGTCACTGCGGCTATGGTTAGCGAGGATAAATTTTTACAAGTGCCCTTGATGATGGCTGAGCGAGCGTGGAGTTACGCGATGCAGCTACGTCAGGAATCTAATACAGAGCCAAGGAAGAAGTTTCATCTGATATCGAGACTCAAGAAAGCAGCTGCGTACTCTTTACAATTGCAAGATTTAATAGA